TGAAAATAGAACAATGTACTTCTAAAAAATGTTTGTGTTTTGTGCTCAGAAGAGCCTGGTGCCTATGGGCAGGGCAGAGCCTGCTGGGCTCAGGGCAGAGATCTGGCTGGTGCGTCCCTGACCGTTCCAGACAGAAGCAGAGATGCTCTCCTGCTCCCCAGGACCTGGGCACACCACACTGTGCAGAGCCCGCCAGCATTATCCGGGCCCTCTTCTTGTCAACAGAGCCCCTGCTTTTCAGCCAGGAACATGGGTGTTCAAGGCAAAGCCTATCTTACAACTCCTCTGCAGCTTGGTATGGTCGGCTAAGCAGAAGTGATGTAAGGAACTCCTAGGAAGTATGCTCAAAGGGAAGGGGCTGCCCTTAATTTCCTTGTCCTTCTTCCTGTTAGCTGGGACACAGATGTAACAGCTGGAGCTCCAGCAGCCATCTAGACCATTCATTCAGTCATTCATTCAACAAATAATTATTAAGCATCTGCTGTGTGCCAGGCACCATTTTAACTGCTTGGGATATGGCACGTTGGGCATGAAAGCCGTGCACAGGTGTAGAACAAAAGACAGGAGGAGCTTGGGTCTCTGATACTGGGACATACCACACCGCCCTGCCCTGTGCTGGCTACCTCTAGATTTCTTGACTAGAAAAGAGAAATACAATTCCCATCTTGCTTTAGCCACAGCTTGTGGGCTTTCCTATTGCCTGCTGCTGAACCTAACCCCAACTAATATGGAGATAAAAAGCATTAAATTTGGCAACACCCCTAATACAGGGCTTTGGACCCAATATAGGTCCTAGATTAGGGCTCAACATAAAAATCCCAAACCTGAGTGACCTAGAGATCAAATATGAATCGAAAGAACAAATTCTCGTAGCAGAAACAATGCCGTGTGCTGAGATGTGCTCTCCCAGACTCCTACAAACTGTGCATGTGGGTGATTCACCCTCTTCCCAAGTCCCCTGTACACCTATTTCCTATCCTCAGGCCCGGCCACCCCTGGGTGGGAGGAGCCCTTCTCGGAGGGGCAGGTGTTCCGGGGCAGAAGATGACGCCAAAGTTCTCCCAACCCTGGAGGCCGCGCAGTCCTAACCTGTTCCGCGGCACCACTAAAAACATCATCCATCTGTACAAGCTTAGAAACTGAAATGCATGCTCACGGCAGGAAAATAGCTTTTAAAATATTTAAAAATATCAACTATAGTCTTTAAAAAATCATATGGTGCTTGACCTTCCTGAAGGCAGTGGTTTTCAAAATTACATTTGTTTGCTTATTTATGTTTTTAATAAAGTTCCAGAACCCTTCCTTCCAAAATGAATTGTACCCCAAAGCCCAGCATGTAAAAGGTGGATAGGAAGAGAGCTCTCTGGCTCCCTCTTTTGAACAGCACCGGGCATTGCTCAGGACCGGGTTCAGAGCAGATCCAGACGGGCCCTGCCCCTCGGCGTATGCAGGTCAGTGGGGGACAGACAGCAAACAGGTGAAGGGGACTTCATGCTGAATGAAATGGGAGCCGTTGGATGACGTTAAGGTTAAGCAAGGCTATGCTTTTTCTGACTTGTTTCAAGAAAGCCTTTGTAAGTGAAGTGTAAAGAAGAGATTTTAGAGGTGCAGGAGGGGACTGTCCCGGGGGCTGATGAGCAGTGGCTCGGAGGAGATGAAGGTGGTATCTGGGACCACGGTGGGGGAGGTGAGAGGGTCTCCATTCCACAGTCCCCAACCCGAACGCAGAGCAGAACAGAAGGAACCTGGCGAAGGACGGGGTATGGGGCTGAGGGACGGAGGCGCTGGGGTGACTCCTGTGGGTCTGGCTGTCCATGGGGTGACAACAGCTCCTTGTCTAAAATGGGGGATGCCAGGGGGTCAGCGGGTTTAGGGGTGAAATCAAAAGGTCTCCTCTGGTCACGTTAAATCTGAGCACACCCAGACGTGTCCCTGGGAAGGTCAAGTGGCGTGGGTCATGACCCTGGAGCGGGGGGAGAAGACTAAACCTACAGAAGTGCCGAAAGCCCTGCGCCTGGGAGCCGGCAAGGAGAGAGGCTGCGGAGCGGCCGGGGGTGTCCCCACATTGGGGTCTGGCAGAGGAGAAGGCACGAGCAAAGCACCCTGCACAGGCGTGGCCAGCACGTGGCCCCAAGGAGGAGAGTGCTGCCCAGTGGGAGGAACCCTCTGTGTCATGCAGGTGGCAGGTCGAGCGGGCTGAGGTGGGCGGCGGGGGACTGACCATAGCATGTGGCCACATGAAGTTGCTGGGGACCTGGACAGGCTGTTTCAGTGGGATGGAGGAGGCCAGTGGTGAGGAGGGGGCTGCCTGGGGCGGGGTGTGAGGGACAGAGAGCCTTTCTTCCAAGACGGTGGTTAATGGTACATGTGCACCCACCCGGAGTGGTACTGGAGGGGGAAAGGGCGGGGGTGGCGCAGAAGCCTGGGCCAGAGGCCACTAGAGGGGAGGGCACTGGTGCCAGGTGGAGGGCTGGCCTTGCGGGGAGGTGGCAGGGCAAGCGCTCGTTCATGGGGCTACGCCGTGGGCAATCCTGACCTCAGGGCCTTCCCCAGCTGAGCATGAGCAGAGGGATCAGGAGGGAAGGAACAGTGTGCTGGGTGGACGGCAGCTGCTCACCTGCGCCTTTTTCTCCAGCCACGCTGGGACTCCCGGGGAAAGCAGGAGGTCCTCACTTGGCCAGGCCCAGCCTCTGGTCACCCTCGGCCCAAAGTCCTCCCCATGGATGGTTATCAAACCTCATCTGGGTTTTTGTTAATAAGGTTATGATCAGCCCTTTCCTACCTAGAGTGGCCAGTATTTTGAGGGTGGGACACTCGTCCACACTTTCTTTGATTCCCACTGACCCTGCACAGATAAAGCCAGGCTAGGGGAGTGGCCAGAACACCTGGCAAACAGCACACCCACTCTGGGAGACGACAAGAGACGGAGAGCAGGTCCTTACCGTGGACAGCGTGGAGGAGCACCTGACGTCCTTGGGATCTGAAAGAGGAAACAGGAGTCGGATGCTGAACTCGTTCCCCAACAGGAGGAACGAAACCCACAATGACGCGACACCGAATCAGCCCAGAGATCTAAGGCACGACGCGAGGTGTTCACACTCAGTGAGTAGCTTTTAGCTGCTCTGACCACAAAAATGAAAGAAAAAGCGTAACTCTGTGAGTTGGTGGATACGTTAACTGCTTTACTGTAGTCGTAGCTGTTTCACTCCCCGTCCCACAACACCGTGTTGTACACCCTAAATGACACAAAATTTATTTTAAGAAAAACAAGTTACCATCTTACACTTTTATGAAATTAGCATGCGTTTATGAAAAAAGCCATCGCCATAGCACACCAGGTGGGGGTGAGGGCACCGCTGGGCCGCCCCTACCACCCCCCACGGAAGCAGGGGGACACGGCACGCCACCACCACACGGGTGAAAGACCACGAAAGGAACTCACAGCGAGGCCAGTGAACACAAGCAGAGCACAGGCACGCCGTGCTGTCGGGCCACTCGACGCGCTTAAAGCGCAGAAGGAAATACAAAGACGGGATGAGTACCTCAGAGTAGTGAGGTTAGAATAACATCGTAATGAGTTATTTAATGTTACGGAATTCATCAGAAATGAAAATTAGTGGAGACAAAACATCTATAGATGTTATAGAACAAAAGGTCTTTTGTAAATGTGAAAAAGGGAGGAAATGTGGGGAGAGCCAAATCAGATCTAGGCTCTGTCGTGTTTCTTTACAACGCAGCCAGCGCCCTGAGACTGCGCAACCAGGGAACCGGCGAGGCGCTGGGAGAACCAGCCCTGCCGCTTCTCCGGACTCCAGGAGGCCCCGTTCAAACACCTCTGCTCCCGTCCTTCCAACCGCCCGAATCCTGGTCTTTTTATGGCCTTTGATAAAATCGTTTACTGCCTTGAAACACAGACTCCCCGCCAGGCACAGCCCAAGGGCCGAGGTCACTCACCAGGGACATGGGGTCAGTGTGCTGGGCAGTCTCGATGGTCCACCTGTGGTGTCCAGGCACCAATGAAAAGTGATGCCAGCCAGCTCACCCAATCGTCCCCAGGGAGGTCACTCACCCAGTATGTGACGCCCCCCAGAAGTAAGCCAGGGGTCCCCACTCCTGTGAGGTGTGGCTAGTCCCACAACATGGCTCTTCCTAGGCTCCTGCCTTGCAGGGCACAAGCACACACATCCCTTGGCTCTCACGTCCCAGAACGGCTTCACAGAACAGACCCAGAGAGGCCTGAGGAAGCCTCTTGGGGGGGGGGGGGCTGTCTTTTGGGCCCCGCCCTGGGTGGGAGAAAGGAGTGAAGGAGAGGAGAGCCCCACCTTTTCTGCTAGCCACAAGAATGGGGTACCTATGCCTTAGAGCCCGCTCAGGGCCAGTGACTAGGGACAAGGAGGGAGCAGAAACAAACTGCGGTACACCTGACACCTTTTCCCTATCTGCAGAGAGCTGTTCTTACACGCGGCACTGCTCATCGTTACTGACAGCTCTTGCAACATTGAGACACAGCCGACCTTCCAGCCACAGGGGCAAGAATGTCATGCTACTTCCCTGAGTGGGAGGTTCTGGTGGTTTTATTCTGTCCTGTTTTAGAAGACAGTGCACAGCCCTCCTGTAGTTCAGCACGCCCCGTGGCCAGAGCCGACCAGGGCACAGGGGACATCTGGATGGTTGCGCCTGCCCCAGCCCTGGAGGGCCTCATTTACAAGAGCCCAGCTCAGGCCTGAGCTAGGAGGAGGCAGAACAGGGGTCCGAAGCCTGCAGACCAAGCTCTCTGCCCGTGCAGACAAGCAGAGAAAACTGGGGCGCTGGACAGCTAGGGCCCAGCATGAGGGGAGGCTCCTCCAGGGGGGCTGGCTGGACGGGCTGCTCAAAAGGGAAGTTTCAGAGACAAAATACACAGGAGAGAATAGCTGGGAGTCCCTAGCAAAACCAGGAATGTGGGTGGAGAAGCCCTTTAGGCCCACAGCCCTAGAGACAGTGGATGCATGGGAGGGTCTCCCTGAAGGTTCTGGGCTCCCATCGCCATGGGGCAGATCTGAGTAGTGGGGGACAGGGCCTCCCTGCCAAGAGGTGGGAGCCGACACGGGAAATCAGGTGGCTTCCAGAAGCCGAGCACCAGAGTGACAGGGAGGCAGCATGCCTGGCCAACCTCCTCTGGGTTCCTGGGGGCCTCGCCAGTGCCTTGGAGTCCCAGGCAGGAAAGAGAGCGACCTGGGACACGGGGCATGTCGACTCCCACGGGTGCTTGGGTGTGCAGAGGAGGGAGTGGAGGACGAGAGTGTCTGGACTGGGCTTAGACGTGGCCCGGGGGGCTGTGGCTGGGGACAGGTGCTCCCTGAGGCTGGCTACTGATCCATTTAACTGGGAGGGACAGAAGCAAAAGGCTTGTAGGACAGAATGACAGCCGCTGAGAAGACACTGGTGGGCAGAGAGCGTTTCTCAAACTGAGTAGTGCTCAGATGCTTTTGAAAGATGAGAGTTCCCACAGTTCCCAAGGTAATCTTTCAATCCCCAGGGTTCCAGGGACCCAGACTGGAGAAACAATGACTTAAGAAACTAAACTCCTATTGTAGAAAAATATCTTTCAAATGATACTATCCCTGCAAG